GGCACAGAGCTCACTCTCACCTGGGTATGAGCTCACTCTCACCTGGGTATGAGCTCACTCTCAACTGGGCACAGAGCTCAATCTCACCTGGGTATGAGCTCACTATCACCTGGGCACAGAGTTCACTCTCACCTGGGCACAGAGCTCACTCTCACCTGGGTATGGAGCTCACTTTCAACTGGGCACAGAGCTCACTCTCACCTGGGTATGTGCTCACTCTCACCTGGGCACAGAGCTCACTCTCACTTGGGTATGAGCTCACTCTCACCTGGGCACAGATCTCACTCTCACTTGCGCACAGAGCTCAATCTCACCTGGGTATGAGCTCACTCTCATCTGGTTATGAGCTCACTCTCACCTGGGCACGGAGCTCACTCTCACCTGGTTATGAGCTCACTCTCACCTGGGCACAGAGCTCACTCTCACCTGGATATGAGCTCACTCTCACCTGGGCACAAGCTCACTCTCACCTCCCCACACAGGTACATGTGGTCTCCCACCCCAATAATGATCAGCAGATTGCAGGATGGGGGTTCTGAGGGACACGTTGTTGTTAGAAGAAATTTCTATGTAAAATTCTTACTGTTGAATCTGGTTCAGGGAAGATGCTGTCAAACCAGGAGGTCCCCTTGAACGACGTGACAAAAACGGGGAGTGGGGATGACGCCACTCCCTTTGACAATTGAGAAGATCTTCGTCTTGCGACTAATTCATTTTTCACTGCAGCTGTGCTCGATAATTTCCGAACCTTCTGTCCCTGTGTGCAGGAATGTTCAATATCACCATCAAACACTCCCAGGGACAGGGACAGCACGGGGTTAGATACAGAGTAAAGATCTCTCTACACTGTCCCCCATCAAACACTCCCAGGGACATGGACAGCATGGGGTTAGATACAGAGTAATGCTCCCTCTACACTGTCCCCATCAAACACTCCCAGGGACAGGGACAGCTTGGGGTTAGATACAGAGTAAAGCTCTCTCTACACTGTCCCCCATCAAACACTCCCAGGGACAGGGACAGCATGGGGTTAGATACAGAGTAAAGCTCCCTCTACACTGTCCCCCCATCAAACACTCCCAGGACAGGGATAGCATGGGGTTAAATACAAAGTCGCACAACATTCAAACTGTGTTTTGATCTTGTTGCTGTTTATTTTTAACTTGTTGTCAGTTGATATAAACAGTCTGCCTGCCCCCTGCTGATTGAATGTGTTTCTGATCTTCAATATCAGAGTGACATTGCCAGGACCTTCCTTCTTGGGTCAGTCGTGTAAAACCCTGCTGACAGAACCTGAAAATCAGCTGTATTCTGTGCTGAATGGGCCTGTGCAGGACTGGTAGCATCACTGAGTGCTCGTTCTCCCACTCCCTTCACAGCTCCCCGTCCAAACTATAACATCTACCCCATGACTTTTCACTGTTTCCATTGGTTCAACTGCACAACTACTTTCGAACATTTAGCTAACTCTGCAAGTGTTTGATTGGATTAGCAATTACATCTATCTTACTGGAATGGAGAGACGAAGAGAAAGTGTTTTTGACACAGACAGTGACACAGAAACTCAGCCCAATTAACCAGAGAGACACAGGGAGGCGCACAGGGACATTGAGAAGCACAAAGCCAGCACCCTATTGAAACAGATATTAACCAAACCACTCACACCCACACAGAGAGTCGTATGGTCAGACAAACAATACTGGATACTGATGAGACAGAGATATCTACAGACAATAAAATGGACCAGTGACACCTGTACTCTACACACCCTGGCCTATTTGTTTGACTAAACTGAGGGTACAAACATTAAAAACTGAGACAGAGAGAGAGAGAGCAAGAGTGAGAGAGAGTAAGAGAGAGCGTGAGAGTGAGAGAACGAAAGAGAGTGAGAGTGAGAGAGAGTGAGAGTAAGGGAGAGAGAGAGTGACAGAGAGAGTGAGAGTGAGAGTGAAACTGAGAGAGACAGACAGAGTGTGACAGAGACAGCAAGAGTGAAAGAGGGTAAGAGAGAGTGAGATTGAGAGTGAGTGAGAGAGAGAGTGAGAGAGAGCGAGAGAATGAGAGAGGGAGAGAGTGAGAGAGCGAGAGAATGAGAGAATGAGAGAGAGAGAGAGTGAGAGAGTGAGAGAATGAGAGAGAGAGAGAGTAAGTGGGGTTGACATCAGGATGAAAAGTTTTACCGAAGGGGCCGCGATGAGAGGTGATTGCCCCAAATGTTGTTTTGCTTTGTGATTCTCCTTCTCCAGTAACTCCAGTTTCTCCAGGAAGATGCTGGAATGACGAGTCAATGTGTCTGAGGGCTGATGGAAGAAGGTTAGAGATTAGCAATCTGAACATCTCCTTGTGGGGTAATGGTTAGCAATGACCCAATAACCTCTCTCACAGATCAGCAATCTGACTTTAACTCAGGATTATCTCCAGAGTGGTCAGCCTGGTGGTCTCCTGAAGTTCAGACCAATCTAAACGGTTCAAACGTTATATTCAAAATTTCTTTGAACATCATCATGGGATTTTTTTGATGGAGTATAGAGTACCAGAACAGGGAGGTGATGTTGAACTTGTACAAGATATTTGTTAGACCCCAGCTGGAGTGCGGGCCCCACATTATAAGAAAGATGTGAATGCATAGGAGAGAGCGATTTACAGGAATGGTTTTGGGAATGAGAAACTTCAGTCAGGAGGATCGATGAGATTGTTGTCCTTGGGGAAGAGAAAGCTCAGTGGTTAGGGAGAAACTGTTCCCATTGGTGGATGGATTGAGAGTGAGAGGGCACAGATTGGAGGTGACACCAGCAGAGAGTGGGGAGGGGCTGGAATGCCCTGCCAGCACAAACATTCCGAGCCAAATAGCCTCCTCCTGTCAATGTGTAAGATTAATGGACTCCCCTTTCCCTGTGTATCAGGCTCGAGGGGCCAAATGATCAAGATACGCAATAGCAAACATTCAAGAAACGCATGGGGGAACTGCATCAACTGTTTATTCCTGTCTGTCGTTAAAGCAAAATGGGTAAGAGGGCCAATCCATGGCTTACAAAGGAAATTAGAGATAGTATCTGATCCAAGGAAAAAACATACAGATTGACCTAGAAAAATAATAAATCTGAGGATTGGGAGCAGTTTAGAATTCAGCAAAGCAGGATCAAGAGATTGATTAAGAAGGGGGACAAAGAGTAAGAAAGTAAGATTGCAGGGAACATAAAGACTGACACTAAGAATTTCTATAGGTACGTGAAGAGAAAGAGATTGGTAAAGACAAATGTAGGTTCCCTACAGGCAAAAACAGGAGAATGTATAATAGGGACAAAGAAATGGCTGAGGAAGTGAATACATACTTTGGTTCTGTCTTCAAAAGAGAGGACATAGATCAGCTACAGAATTGTTGGAAAGATTTAGTGATAGGGAAGAATTGAGAGAGATCAACATTAGTAGAGAAATGGTGCTGGGAAAACTGCTGGGATTGAAGGCCGATAAATCCCCAAGGACTGATAATCTACATCCCAGAGTACTTACGGAAGTAGCTTTAGAAAAAGTAGATGCATTGGTGGTGATCTTCAGGATTCTATAGACTCTGGAACAGTCTCTGCAGATTGGAGGGTGGCTAATGTCATTCCAGTATTCAAAAAGGGAGGTTGAGAGAAAACAGGGAACCTAACATCAGTAGCGAGGAAAATTCTCGAATCCATTGTCAAGGATTTAATAGCAGAGCATTTAGAAAGCAGTGGCAGGATCAGACAGAGTCAGCATGGATTTATGAAGGGGAAACCATGCTAGATAAATCTGTGGGAATCTATGAAGATGTAACTAGTAGAGTCGACAAGGGGGAAAGCGTTTGACGAAGTCCCACATAAGAGATTAATGTACAAGATTAAAGCGCATGGGATTGCGGGCTGTGTAGTGAGATGGATAGGAAAGTGGTTGGCAGGGAGGAAACACAGGGTAGGAATTAATGGTCCTTTTCAAATTGGCAGGCAGTAACTAGTGGGGTGCCACAGGGATCAGTGCATGGACCCCAGCTATTCACGATATATATTAATGATTTGGATGAGGGAACAAAAGTGACATCTCCAAGTTTGCAGATGATACCAAATTGGGTGGGGAGGGTGAACTGCGACAAGGATGCAGAGATCCTACAGCATGATCTGGACAGGTTGGGTGAGTGAGCAAATCAATGGTAGATGCAGTATAATTTGGATAAATGGGAGATTATTCACTTTGGAAGCAAAATCAAGAAGGCAGATTACTACCTGAATGGCTGTAAATTGGGAGAGGGGAGTGTGCAGTGGGACCTGGGTGTCCTTGTGCACCAGTTGCTGAAGGTAAGCATGCAGGTGCAGCAGGTGGTAAAGAAGGTAAATGGTATGTTGGCCTTCATTGCGAGAGGTTTCGAGTACAGGAGCATGGAAGTGTTGTTGCAGTTATACAGGGCCTTGGTGAGAACACACCTAGAATCGTGTGTGCAGTTTTGGTCTCCTTTTCTGAGGAAGGATGCTCTTGTTCTCGAGGGAGTGCAACGAAGGTTTACCAGGCTGATCCCAGGGATGGTGGGTCTGACGTATGAGGAGAGATTGACTCAGTTAGGACTGTTTTATCTGGAGTTCAGACGAATGAGGGGGATCTCATAAAAACTTGTAAAACTTTAACAGGACAGGACGGGGTAGATGCAGGGAGGATGTTCCCGATGGTGGATATGTCCAGAACCAGGGGGCACAGAATGAGGATTCGGGGTAGACCGTTTAGGACGGAGACGAGGAAGCATTTCTTCACCCAAAGAGTGGTGAACCTGTGGAATTCATTATCACAGGAAGTAGTTGATGCCAAAACATTGAATGTATTCAAGAGGTGGCTAGATATAACACTTGGGGTGAATGGGATCAAAGGTTATGGGGAGAAAGCAGGATTAGGCTTTGAGTTGGATGATCAGCCGTGATCGTGATGAATGGTGGAGCAGGCTTGAAGGGCCGAATGGCCTCCTCCTGCTCCTATCATCTATGTTTCTATCACCCCCTGTTACAGTAACAGGCTGGATGGGCTGAATGGCCTCCTCCAGTGGGGCTGAGGTGATGATCTGGCTGGCTACAATTTCCCAATCACAGGAATCTGCAATTGTCACGGAGTCATAGAGGCCCAGAGCAGAGAGAAACGGCCCTTCAGCCCATCATCCCAGACTAAATGTAGTCTATGGTGAAGTGACAGAGCTGCTGTGTTGTGGTTACAGTGAAGGAGTGAAGGTACCTGAGATGAGGGGTCAGAGCGGGGCTGGGGCTGAGGGAGTTCCTGTGACCAGGGGGCCTCAGTAAACTGGCTCGATATTCTCTGGACTTCAGAGGAATGAGCGGTCATCGCATTGAGACAGGAATATTGTGAAGGCGTTTGGCCAAGGAGTCACTAACAGAGAGTTTCCAGCTTGTTAAAGAGTCTGGAACCAGGTTGAGTGGGGTGGGGGGGAGTCACAATCAGGATGTGGGAATGATGGTTATCAGCTCATTCACTCAGGGTGGGGGTCTGGTCAAGCTTTGGAATTGTCTATGCCAGAGGGTTCTGGAAGCTCCAACATTGAATTACTTAAGGCGGAGACAAACAGGTTTCTGGGAACTCGAGGTACAGGGGAGAGGGTAGGGAAGTGGAGTGGATCCCAGAGATCAGCCACGATCCTAATGGAGGGTGGAGGAAGCTCGATGGGCCGAAGGTCCACTCCTGCTGCTATCCTCTATGTTCCTGTGTCATTCCTTCACATACAGGGTCATAGAAACCATCACCTTGCCCACTCACCCCACCCCCAAAAAACAGAGTGATGGTTCTCACTCAGAGTTCCCGAGAGTGAGATGAAATGTTGGTTTTAACAGAGATACTGTGTAAGGATATGGGGGACTGGTGGGAGAGTTCCACTAAGTTGTGACAGTGGCTCAGTGGATAGCACTGCTGCCTCACAGCGCCAGGGACCTGGGTTCGATTCCACCCTCGGGTGACTGTCTGTGTGGAGTTTGCACATTCTCCCTGTGTCTATGTGGGTTTCCTCCAACAGTCCAAAGATGTGCAGGGTAGGGAGGATTGGCCCTTGCTAAATTGCCTATAAAAGATCCAGAAGATCATCAGATGCCATTTCTGCCACCACCAGACACATATTCCCCTCCCTTGTCCGCCTTCTGCAGGGACTGTTCCCTCCTTCACCTCCCGACAGCCCTATGGCACCTTCCCCTGTAACTGGCAAAGGTGCAACACCTGCCCATTTACCTCCTCCCTCCCCAGTATCCAAGGGCCCAAACATACCTTCCAGGTGAAGCTGCACTTCCAAGAATCTAGTCTACTGCATTTGCTGTTCACAATGCAGTCTCCTCTACGTTGGGGAAACGAAGCGTAGACTTGGTGACTGCTTTGCTGAACATCTACGTTCTGCTCGCAAAAAAGACCCTGAACTACCTGCTGCCTGCCACTTTAACACACCACCCTGTTCCCTGGCCAACATCGCTGTCTCTGACTTGCTGCAGTGTTCCAGTGAAGCCCAACGCAAGCTGGAGGAACAACACTTCATTTTCCACTTGGGGACCCTACAGCTCTCCGGACTCCATAGTGAGTTCAATAATTTTAGGTCCTAAACTCTCCCATGTCCCAGCCCCCTACCCCACACACCAGGCCTTGTTACCACATAGCCTGCCACTACACACCCCTGTTGTTAGTCACTAACAGTCCCCATTAACAACTACTCACCCTCCCAGCCTGATCGTTAGCAACTCCTTTGTCTGGCCAACTGTCTTTCTCTCTCTTTGGGCTCTATCCTATCGTTTACTCCCTACCCCACCCACCTCCCTATTTTCTGCATATAAACTGACGTTTTCCCAGCCACCATCAGTTCTGAGGAAGGGTCACCGGACCCGAAACGTTAACTCTGTTTTCTCCTTCACAGATGCTGCCAGACCTGCTGAGCTTTTCCAGCAACTTTGTTTTTGTTCCTGAAATTGCCTGTAATGTCCAGGCTAGATTTATTAGCCATGGGAAATGCAGGGTTAGATGCATAGGGTAGGGGGTGTGGGTCTGCCTGGGATGCTTGTCAGAGAGCCACAGTTGACTTGAGGGGCTGAATGGCCTGCTTCCACGCGGTAGGGATTCTATGCTCACTCAGAGAGTGGAGCAGACCCACAGGACTGAATGGCCTCCTTCTGTACTGTAATAATTTTGTGATGGTGTGGGGAGGGAGGGAGGGAGGAGTTGGGATAAGATGTTTGAGGCACATGGGGGTGAGGTGGACAGAGGGGTTTGAGGTGTTGATTGGCTGCGATTCTCACTCTGTGAGAGTCTCTCGCTG